AATACAAATATCATAGAAGCAGACCCATTTTCAATAAAACAAGGGCTGCAATACATTCAGAACAATAAAATATCAAACTCAGTAATCTTCACCAACTCCTATTCAGCATTATAGTTAATAGCAAACCACAAACAAATCACATCATCAAATACAAACAATACAAACATCAAAACAGAATCAGACTATCAAATTACAATGGATCCCATAAAATAAAGGCATTAATGGCAATGAAATAGTAGATCAAGCAGCAAAAAAGAACACAGATTAACAAATCCCACTGCCATAACAAAAGACATTAACAATTTGATAAAAAAAACAAAAAACAAAAAAAAAACAGAAAAACATGGGAAGAACAACTAACAGATATATTAAAATAAGCAAGGTGAAAATAGAACTCTAAAAGAAAAGATATCAAAGGGAGTACCTCAGGGATCACCCCTAAGTCCAACACTAATTAACATACTAATGTCAGATCTGAGACTCCCAGAGGAAATTTGCGAAATAATTTACGCAGATGACATCTTGCTAATTACTCAAAACAAAGATTTTAAAAATTATTTAAAAAATGCAATTAAATACATAAAAGAATGGACTGACAGATGGGATTTAAAAATAAATATAACAAAAAGTAAACTAATGTGCTTCACCAACAAAAGAATTCAAAATATTCCAGAAATAAGTAGAGATAACAAAATATTAATATTCACAAATAACCACAAAATACTAAGTCTAGAATTTGATGCTCTAAAACTAAAATGGAAAACACACATAGATAAAATTAAAACTTCCATGCAAAAAAGGATAGACATAATGAAGAAGCTATCCACATTAACATGGGGAGCTAAAAGAGAAACAATGTTAGAATTGTATAATATCTACATAAAAACAAAAATTCTATATGGTTCCGCAATATATGGATCAGTGAATAACACAGTTTAAAAAAAAATAGAAATAATACAAAACAAAGCAATAAGAATAGCAACAGGCTGTTTCAAGTCAACTCCAATAATAGCTTTACAAGCCTTAATGAACACAATGTCCTTAACCCATTGGTGCCGGGTATGATGTGTACGTACGTGCTATGCCCACCGTGAGTGCTTGTTTGATTGTTTTTACGCATAGATGGCAACACTTGTACTAAATCACCAATGAGCCAACTACGAGGACTGCCTGTCTCGCCCGTTTCTTTGATTTACGAAATATTTTACGTTATCTTATTATGCTGTTAGTAATGTTAAAAACATTATAAAAATTATAATGTTAATGATAAAAATAACACCATCGATTTTCATAGCACTAGTGAAAAATACGTTTTTCCTGCCATTTCAAATCAGGCGCTAGTAGAGCCATCTATCGGCAGACATTTCACGAAAAACAGAAAGTGGGCACAGCATTTTCCCCATTTTTTGTTCATTTTCCCCAGCGGCATTGGGTTAAGACAAGAAATAAAAAAACAAGAATGTATCCAGCTGGCAAAATTATTACAAAAACAAGAAACTATGCCAATAAAAAAAACTGTTGATTGAATCAATTGAGGAATGTAACCAAGATATTAACAAAGAAAACTTAGAAAAGAAACCCAGATAATAGAGGAAGAGCTTTTAGCCATAAAAGAAGCATTAAGATATATTACAAATAACAACATAAAAAACTCAAAATCAGCAGTACACTACATTCAAAACACTAACCCCAAGAAATATAATAACATAATATTCGAAATACATTCAATAATTTTAAGCCTAACGGAAAACAAACATAAAACAATGATACAGTGGATACCAGCACACAAAAAACTAAAAGGTGACGAAATAGTTGACCTTGCAGCAAAAACAGCACATAATATAAATTAAACTTTTAACATAACTAAAGATATATCAAATGTAATAAAAGAATAAAAGTCTTAAGAATTGGGAAGAATATTTTAATTATGCCCTACACACAAACAATTACTATTTAAAAAACACCAGTACTCAACCATGGACAAGATCCAAAAATGGAAAATTAGACACATGTACAACAAGAATAAAAACAAAACACACCATCTACATAGAATAAAAATTGAAACTGATCCATTTTGCAGATGGTGTCATAATCAAGAAGAAACAGTGGAACATCTATTTCTTCATTGCCCAAGATTTAATTCAAACAGTGTGTTACTTCTCAAAGCACTAAAGAAAATAAAAATCATCAATCTAAATGTAAAACAACTGATTACAGGATATAATGATAAAAATAACACCATCGATTTTCATAGCACTAGTGAAAAATACGTTTTTCCTGCCATTTCAAATCAGGCGCTAGTAGAGCCATCTATCGGCAGACATTTCACGAAAAACAGAAAGTGGGCACAGCATTTTCCCCATTTTTTGTGCATTTTCCCCAGCGGCATTGGGTTAAGACAAGAAATAAAAAACAAGAATGTATCCAGCTGGCAAAATTATTACAAAAACAAGAAACTATGCCAATAAAAAAAACTGTTGATTGAATCAATTGAGGAATGTAACCAAGATATTAACAAAGAAAACTTAGAAAAGAAACCCAGATAATAGAGGAAGAGCTTTTAGCCATAAAAGAAGCATTAAGATATATTACAAATAACAACATAAAAAACTCAAAATCAGCAGTACACTACATTCAAAACACTAACCCCAAGAAATATAATAACATAATATTCGAAATACATTCAATAATTTTAAGCCTAACGGAAAACAAACATAAAACAATGATACAGTGGATACCAGCACACAAAAAACTAAAAGGTGACGAAATAGTTGACCTTGCAGCAAAAACAGCACATAATATAAATTAAACTTTTAACATAACTAAAGATATATCAAATGTAATAAAAGAATAAAAGAATAAAAGTCTTAAGAATTGGGAAGAATATTTTAATTATGCCCTACACACAAACAATTACTATTTAAAAAACACCAGTACTCAACCATGGACAAGATCCAAAAATGGAAAATTAGACACATGTACAACAAGAATAAAAACAAAACACACCATCTACATAGAATAAAAACAAAACACACCATCTACATAGAATAAAAATTGAAACTGATCCATTTTGCAGATGGTGTCATAATCAAGAAGAAACAGTGGAACATCTATTTCTTCATTGCCCAAGATTTAATTCAAACAGTGTGTTACTTCTCAAAGCACTAAAGAAAATAAAAATCATCAATCTAAATGTAAAACAACTGATTACAGGAGAAGATTTACCAGAAGATCAGTTCTACATATTCTTACAAAAAACAAATTCATAGATATAATATAAGAAGAAAGAAGAATTAACCCATTGCTGCCGGGGATGGCATGTACGTACATGCCATGCCCACTGTGAGTCAACTTGTTCGATTGTTTTTACACAAAGATGGCTACACTTGTACTAAGTATCCAATGAGCCAATTACGAGTACTGCCTGTCTCGCCCGTTCACCCTTTACATCAATTTACAAAAATATTTAACGTTATCCTAATTTGCTGTTAAAAATAACACCATCTATATTTATAGCACTAGTAAAAATATGTTTTTTCCCGCCAATTCAAGGGAAGGTGAAATCAGGACTAGCAGAGCCATTTATGGACAGAGATATTTCACAATAATATAAAAAATGAGTACTGCATTTCCCCCATTTTTTGTTCATTTTCCCCGGCGGCAATGGGTTAAGAAAAGGTTTCAGGGAGATATAGACAAAAAAGTGTCTAAAACCCTATAAAAGAAGAAAGAAAGAAGAAGATATATTGAACACAAAAAACTATTACATCAAAGATAACAAAACAATCTATGGTCAAGATAAGAAAACAGAAAACTAGATGTTTATCACAAATAAAAACAAAACACATAAGACTAAAACATCTATATAAAATGAAAATGGAGACAGATCCAACATGCAGATGGTGCCAACAAGAAGAAACTATACAACACCTAACTCTCCAATACCCAAGATTTAACTCTCACAGAATAAAACTATTTGAATCATTAAAAAGAATAAAAATATAAAATATAAAAAAAAACAAATATGCTTCTTTTTAAAACAGGTGCAGAGCATTCACTAACTAAGAAATACTACATATCAAGACACGGTCAATATGCAGAAGAGGGTAGTGGGTTACTTTCAAAACAATTTTGATATTTTTCTGCATGAACTCCATGCACAGTGGTATATATTCCCTAGCCAGGGGGCTCTGCCCCCGGGACCCCTGTGGTAGTATATATGCCTAGTCAGGGGGCTACGCCTCCTGGACCCCCATGGTAATATATACACCTAGCTTGGGGGTCCGCCCCCTGGACTCCATGGTAGTTTATGCATCTAGAATTCACCCTCACAATGTAAACAAGATGAGCGACTTCGCCAAAATTGGGGGATCTTCTCTTTTCTTTAATGTATAGAACCCTTGGGAAGCATTTGCACACATAATGCCATAGAAGAACTTTGTCTTGGTTTGTATTGTTTTATCCTTTCATGTAGGTTTTATTACCCAACTCTGCCATTACTTTATACTACATATTGCCCAAAATTTTAAAGCAGAGATAAATATGAGTCAATGTGTTTCCACCTGTGACAACATAACCTTTAAAGTAGCAGATGGCACAAATAACACCTGAGTGCCTCCTCCCTTGGCTCTCGCTCCTTCAGCAGGGGAGTTACCTGCTTATCTCACCAAGCACAGATTAGGTGGAAATCCCCTGCACCCGGCCGTGTAACTACTTCCAATTGTACTCTTTGGTGTTTACCTTTGGCCCAGCGTAAACAGCTCGACTGGCACCCTCGCCACTGCCACCGACAGGACCTTCTCTCCTAAAAATAGCCAACCAAATACTCCCACCTACATTTGCTCACGCCCTGAACTCAACCAACGGACTTTCCCCCTCGTCACACCCTCCCTTCGCACATTCCTCACCTAGAAAGCAACTTAATCTAATGGGCACGCACCTCTCTAACACCCTGCAAGGGTTGCATGACGTGTACCGCCAAGAATACCCGAGAAACTCACCATCTGGCGCTGAGCTGACAGCCTCTCTCGGGTACACCTACGCACGCACTCCCGTCCGCGGTAAGCATTGGAACCGCCGGGAGCATCTCGGGCGTGCGGGCGTGCGGGCGTAGGGGTTTGAGGGACTATCTGAGGGTTATTGGGAGGGGGCGTCCTGGTGGACAGGGAAAGATCTTTTATTCATTTCGGTGGAGATGGTGGGTGGTGGTGTTGAGAGGGAGGTTGGAAGTAATCTGGGGTGTGATGAGCCCTTTCATTTTACATGATTTATTTGACCTCTCAGGTGGCCATAGGGAAGATTTTTTCATGCCTCTGGCTACTGTCGAGATTTTCAAGAGAGACATTTTTCGAGGGAGTAATTAGGTTGTCGGCAAACACGCCCCGGGTGGGTGCAGCACTAGTACCAATTACATTCGATCAGTTGAACTATATGCACAACCTATTTGCAATGCCACAGCAAGTCACTTGGTATAATATGTTCCATTGTATACGATGGCCACTTCTAAAGAATTTAGTGTCTTAAAATCGAAGGGTTTTATAAAGTAAAGTGGCATCGCGGACAGGATATGTAACACCCAGTCACTCTGTTCTGAGAATATGTTACAAAGGGTGTGGCACCACGACAGGGTTATCCTTTTCAACACTTCCAAAGTCTAATGGGATATTTGCAATCAAGTATTCTTACTGTTACTTTATCTCGTGAAAGAAATGAAAGCAAGAGTTAAAATTCATATTCGTTTATCGGCATGGTGAATAGAAGAACAAACAAAGATTAAAGGGGAATTAAAACCATCCAATTCTAATCTATAACCATCTGACACACCCAATCATTGAATAAAACAAAATGATAATGACCCAAAAATTAATCAACTTTAAAAAATAAAGATCTCATCTCTACTCATACAAACACGCTTGTAAGAACTACATACTTTAGTTCACAAGTCAGAGGCTTTCGGTCTGAATCATGTTCAGAAGGTCAATAGATTGGCATTAGGGGCAATCTTCTAATAATGTATTAGAAAAGGTGCCAATACAATACATGAAACTTTTTCTAATCAGTGTAGCATTCCGGTTAAGAATTTACTGCTTTGATCTATGTGCTTGAAATGATAAACTATAGCTGTAAATTGCTGTGCGTATATAGAGAAGTGTTATTATACTCATTTTCTGCAAATTGCTGTTCGTAGTTATCGTTAGCATTCTATTACCTTTGTTATTATTGCTATTATTATTATTATTATTATCATTACTATTATTATTATTATTATCATTATTTTTATTATCATTATTATTATTGCCATTCTCATTATTATCATTATTATTATTATTATTATTATTATATTATTATTATTACTATATTATTATTATTATTACTGTTATTATTATTATTATTATTATTATTATCATTATTATTATTATCATTATTATTATTATTATCATTATTATTATTGTCATTCTCATTATTATCATTATTATTATTATCATTATTATATTATTCTTATATTATTATTATTATTATTACTACTACTATTATTATTATCATCCTTACCATTGTTATTACCGTCATTGTTATTGTTATTATTGATATTATTATTGATATTATTAACATTATTATTGATATTATTATTGATACTATTACCATTATCATTGTTATTATCATTATTATTATAATTATTATTATTATCATCATCATCATCATCATCATCATCATTATTATTATTATTATTATTATTATTATTATTATTATTATTATTATTATTATTGCTATTATCATTCCCATTATTATCATTACTATTTACATTATTATCTATTATTATTATTATCATTGTTTTAGTTTTACTATTACCACTATTACCATTATTACCATTATTCCCATTATTCCCATTATTATTATTATCATGATTAATATTTTCATTATTGCTATTATCATTCCCATTATCATTATTGTTATGATTAATATTTTTATATTTATTATTATTATCATCATTATTATTATCATTGTTTTATCATTACTATTGTTATTATGACTGCTATTATGGTAGTCATAATATGGTTATAATAATAACAATTATGGTAATAATAATAACAATATTGACAAAACAAATAATGAGAATAATAATAATAATAATAAAGACAATAATAGTAATAATAGAGATATCAATAATATGTTATGATAATAATGATGATAACAGGTAATAGTCGTAATAATGGTAATAATAATAATGAAGGCATTAATAGCAGTTACAATGACAATAATGATAATGATAACAATAACAATAACAATAATAGGGATAATAGCAATAATGATGATGATAGTAATAGAAGTAATAATAATAGTACTAATAATAAAGATAATAATAGTGATTACAACAGTAACAATAATGATAATATTAATAATAATAATAATGGTCACAATAGTAATGATAATAATAATAGTGGTAGTAAAATTAGTCATAATAATAAGAGCAACAATAATAAAAATAATTATTATTAAAACAACTACAAAAATGATGATGATAATGATATTAGTAATAATGACAATAAAAGTGATAATGATAATACTAATAAAATGATAATGAAAATACTAATAAAATGATAATGATACTACTCCTAATGATAATAATGATAATAACAATAATAATAATGATAATAATAATAATAATAATAATAATGATAATGATAACAATAATAATAATAATAATAGTAATAGTAATAATAATAATAATAATAGTAATAATAACAATGAAGCTCAATAAGGTTATAGCTCTTATCAGAACTGAATCAATACCGGAAGTAAACATAGTCTTACGCAAGGCACTACGCACGGATTTAGGACAGTTAAATAGAATGAAAAGAAATGCGTTGCAAAGTGAGGGTACCGTATCAAAGCTTGAAAGGAAATATCGCATAGTAGAAAAAGGTATTGATGTGGTCCATGAAGAAGTACAACAGAGGCTAGTTGCAATTGGGGCAAAGCTTGAAAGATATGACAATAGGACAGAGCAGTACAGACAGAATCGCTTGTTTGAATCAAATCAAAAGAAATTGTTCGAGGAATTAGACGGAGTAGAAAGAGAAACGGTGGTGCCTGATGCAGAGGAAAGTACTCGCTTTTGGAGTGACATATGGGACAAACCCATAGGCGTAGGAGCCAGGGGGGCTGGGGGGGGGGGGCTGCAGCCCCCCCCCCCCCGTCGGGTAAATGCTGGCTGAATTCGGGCAATTATCATTTTTGATTATTTTGAACATAACACAAGTCCACTAGAACTCAACGAAACAGAAAACCATCGTTATTTTTCCGACAAGTGCAGAAATGTTCCGACGAAAGGGCAGTTTAGGCTTATAGGTGGGTTTTTCGCCCCCCCCCCCCCCCCGACCCCCTCTATCTACGCCACTGGTGGCATACTTCACAAATTTTCTGGCAGGTGAAATTTCTCTTCCTCTTTCACTCGGGCAGAAAATTTGCAGCCCCTCCTAAATTTTAAATGCCCCTACGCCGATGGACAAACCAGTGAAACATAATGGAATGGTTGAGGAAGAGTTGACATGGCTAGGGGTACAAGACGACATATATTGAAGTGACGAAGTTGAAGAAGCAGGTGAGAAAATTGCCAAATTGGAAAAGCCCAGAGCCCGATGGAGTTCAGGGGTATTGGATAAAGAACTTAAGTAATTTGCATGGTAGCATAGTACATCAACTTGACAGGTGTCTCCAAGAAAATCACGTGCCGGTATGGATGGTCACTGGGAAAACAGTATTGTGTGAAAGAATTGGAGAAAGGAAACGCAGTCAGGGCCGTCGCGACGGGGGGTGTGGGGGTGTGAACCCCCCCCACCCCCCCTGAAAAAAGCATCTGTCGGCAAATGAAACCTTAAACCTGCATTTTTTCGGCAAATTGGTAAATTTTGACAATTTCTGCTGCTAATTAATCGGCGCTCTCTACGAATGGTTCACAGAACATAGAGTTATAGTGTGCACCAATGCCCAACGCCCAATGACCACGCCCTTTATCGGCAAATTTGAAACATTACACCCCCCCTGCAATGCTGCCTTCCCGACGGCCCTGAACGCAGTAGCAAATTTTAGGCCCATCACATGTTTACCTCTGTTGTGGAAATTTCTGACAGGGATCTTAGCGGAAGAATTGTATGAACATCTTGAGCAAGCAAACATATTACCATGGGAACAAAAGGGGTACAGAAAAGGAAGTCGAGGGACAAAAGACCAACTTCTCATTGACAAAATGACAATGAGAAATTGCAAGAAACGCTTAACTTCACTGGCTGTTGCATGGATTGCCTACAGCAAAGCATATGACAAGGTGCTCCACAGTTGGATAGAGAAGTGTATGAATATGTTTGGAGTAGCAGTGAATGTCAGGTCCTTCATAAGCGAATCAATGAAGCATTAGAACACAGAGCTGAATGCGGGCCAAAATAGACTTGGAATTGTGAAAATAAAACGAGGATTTTTTCAGGGGGATAGCCTATCCCCACTCCAGTTTGTAATAACAATGATCCCATTGACACTAATACTGAGGAAGAAAAAAAAATCTATGAAGTCAAGAAGAAAGGCGAGAGAATCAACCACTTATTGTTTATAGATCTAAAACTGTTTGCGAAAAATGAGGATCAAGTAGACAGTTTAGTAAATACAGTATGAATATTCTCGGAAGACATCAACATGGAGTTTGAATTATTAAAATGTGGCGTGTTAATCATGAAAAGAGGAAAGATAGTTGAAAGTGATGGCCTGTGCATGCCAAATGATACAATGATGAGACATATTGAGGAAAGTGGATACAAGTATCTTAGCATTTTGGATGGATGGATGGCATTAAACATGATGAGATGAAAGAACAATTGACGAAAGAATACATCAGAAGAGTCAGAAACGTACTGATATCAAAGTTAAACGGGGGAAACATAATTTCAGCCATCGATTCAAGAGCGGTTTCAATCGTCAGATATGGGGCGGGGATCATAAAGTGGACAAAGAATGAATTGGAAGAATTGGACAGAAAAACAAGAGAACTGATGACAATATATGGTGCGCACCACCCCAAAGCAGATGTTGATAGGCTATATTTAAATAAATGTGACGGTGGGAGAGGCTTGATAGGAGGTGAAGACTGTGTGCAGGCAGAAGTAAATAGTCTTGACAAGTACCTAGGTGCATCAGAGGAAAACATGTTGAAAGAAGTAAGCCTCAGTAGTACCCTTGAAAACAATAAGTAATGGGAGGAGCAAAGAGAATATACAGAAGAAACATCAAGAGGAATATGAGAGTAAAGCACTGGTTGAAAAAGGGCTATTTGGAGAAAGAAACAGAAAGTACAATTATAGCAGCACAACAACTGATGTTCAAGGAATATGAGAAAAACGGTGTATGGAGAGAATGTTGATTCAATTTGTAGGGTATGTGGTTCTGGAGATGAAACAGTGGCGCATATTGCGTCAGAATGCCAAAAACTAGCACAGAAAGAATATAAACAGGTAAGACATGACAACGTTACAAAAGTAATCCATTGGAAACTTTGTGAGCAATGGGGATTTGGGAAGCCTGATCAGTGGTACACACGCAAGCCTGAGAAAGTGCTGGAATCAGAAGACTGCAAGATTTTATGGGATTTCCCCATCACTGTAATTGAGAAAAAGGCCAAGAAATGCCTTCTTATCGACCCAGCATGCCCATTTGACACACGTATCGAAAAGAAAGAAGAAAAGTGCAACAATTACTGCGACCTGAAATATGAAATTGCAAGAATGTGGAGAATGAAAGATGTTGAAGTTATTCCAATAGTAATAGGGGCATTAGGGACAGTGACAAAGCAGTTCGAGAAATGGATACTGAAGCTGGATTTGGAAATTACAGTTGAAATGTTACAAAAACCTTGTTTGCTTGGAACAGCAAGAATAATTCGAAAAGTACTGGACAGGTAGTGAAAAGTTACAGAGAAAGAAGCTACAATACCTAAGACCACTGGTCGTGGTCCGCTATTGCCTCTCATTCACCAAGATATAAGACCAGTCTTGAGAGTACTAGAAATAATAATAATAATAATTATTACAATGATAATAATAAAGATAATAGTGATAATAATGCATTAGTAATGATGATAATGATATTGATAATGATGATAAAAGTAATAACAATAATAATAATAGTAATGATGATGAAAATAATAACAATAATAATAATAGCAATGATAATAACACTAACGGTAATAATAATGACGATAATGGTGAGGACGATAATAACAGTAACAATGATGTTAGTCTAATCATCATCATAATAATAATAATAACATATGAATGAGAATGGGAATATTAATAATAACAGTAATAATAGCAAAAATGATAATGTTAATAATTATTCTTTGATAATGATGATAAGGATAATGATAATAGTGATACTTGTAATAACAGTTATTATGATAGTAATAACAAATAATAATGATGTTGATACTAGTAATAATAATAATAATAATGATACTAGTAATAATAATAAAGCTGATGTTGACAAGTCATCTACCAACAATTGGCTAAGAAGCTCAGGTCTCAAACCAGAAACCGAAGGTCTGATCATAGCTGCCCAAGGCCAATGTCTACCAAGATTGATTGATTATTTAAAATTATCTGCCGCGTCAACAGTTAAGGTCATTTGCGGCAAGGTCTGTCTACCAAGAAGATTATCTACCAAGAAGATCCTACAAATACCGAATAATAAAGGATGGAACCAACCCAATGTGTCGCCTTTGTGGTAAATTTGAAGAAACCATTGAACATATAACATCCGACTGTCCAGTCCTTGCCGTAAAAGAGTACATCCATAGACTACAACATCAAAGTCAGTGAGCACTGGTAAGAACACGGGCCAAAAATAGTAACCAGCACAGAAGAAATAAACCTTTGGGATAGGGCCATTGCCACCGATAAGGAAATCAAAGCTAACATACCAGACATAATAGCCAAAGACCGGAAGAAGAATAAATGTTGGATCTAGATATATCCATTTCATTCGAAAGAAATGTTGCTGTGAAGGAGGTAGAAAAGCTATCCAAGTACAAAGATCTCGAAATTGAAATCCAACGCATGTGGAATATAAAAACATCTGTTATTCCTATTATTACTGGTGACCTAGGAAATATAAAAACACAAGTGAAAAGAGGCTGAAAGTGATGCCCGGATGCTTCAACATCAACGACATCCAGGAGATTGCCCTCCTAGGTTCTGCCCATATTATTAGAAAGGCCCTCTCAATCAAAACTGTCTAAAACTCATACTTAAGTGCCAACACCCAAGGAGCATGGATTGCACTCGGTGTTCAGTTAAAAGGCGCAAACCAGGAAGATAAAGACTAAATAATAAGTAAAAATAAGAATAGTGACGATGATGATAATAATGGTAATGATAATAACAAAACAATACCAACACCGGCAACAACAATAATGATAATGATAATAATAATCATAATTATAATAATAGCAATAATAACAA